ACCGTGCCGGCCCATGTCTGTGTTTAAGCCACCCAGTCTCTGGTATTCGTGACGCAGCCTGAAATGGACTAAGACATAATCAATATAGGGAGGAGATGAGTAACACCAGACACACACAGAGGATGACCCTGTGAGGACACAGGAGAACGACGGCATCCTCCCAAGCCCAAGGAGAAGGCCTCAGGAGGAACCAGCCCTGCCCACACCCTGGATCCTCAGACATCCAGCCTCCACGACCGTGGAGGATAAATTTCTGTAGTTTAAGTCCACCGGCGTAAAGACTTTGCCTATAGTGACTTGAGCAGACTAACACATCTGCTCTTAAGTAGTACCCAAAAGGATTCCTAAACAGGTCTTCAACCAAAAAACTTCTACAAAAGTTCACAGCAGCACATTACACAAACAGCTAACAAGGCAGAAACAGCCCCACGTGCCTTTCCGTGGATCATAAGGATAATTAGCCAACACGGCCATCCACCACACAGTGGAATACTAGCACCATGAACAGGAACGAGGCGGGCTGGGGCGCGGGTGGCTCACGCCCTGTAATCCCAGCATCTTTGGGAGGCGAAGCGGGTGGATGCATGAGGTCAGGAATCGAGACTACCTGCTGACACACGGTGAAACCCCCATCTCTACAAATAAATACTGAAAATTAGCCAAGGCGAGGTGGCAGGTGCCTATATCCCAGTCTACTCGGGAGCTGAGGCAGGAGAGATGGCGGGACCCGGAGCTGAGCTGCAGTGAGCCGAGATCCGGCCACTGCACTCAGCCTGGGCGACAGAGAAACAGAACCTCCGTCTCACACAAAAAAAAAAAATTAGCTGGTGTGTGGCGTGCACCTGTAATCCCTACTACTTGGGAGCCTGAGGCAGGAAATCACTTGAACCGGGAGTGCGGAGGTTGCAGTGAGCTGAAGATTGCACCACTAACTGCCAGTCTGGGCAAAAGATGAGAATCCATCTAAAGGAAGGGAAGGGGAGGGAAGGAAAGGGGAAGGGAAAGGGGAATGGGGAAGGTGAAGGGAAGGGGGAAGAAGGAAAGGGAGGGAAGGGGAAGGGAAGAAAGGGGAAGGGGAGGAGGGGAATGGAAGGAAGGGGAAGGGAAGGGGAGGGAAGGAAGGAAGGGGAAGGGAAGTAAAGGGAAGGGAAGGGAAGGGAGGGAGGGAGGGGAAGGAAGGGAAGGGACGGGAGGGGAAGGGAAGGAAAGGAAAGGAAAGGCACAAGGAACATGAATGAACCTTGAGGCCATCACGCTCAGTGACGGAAAGCAGGCACAGAGGACCAGAGGTTGCAGGATTCCATTACTACGCTGTGTCCACAACGGGCAAAGGCACAGTGAAAGAAAGAGGACCTGGGGAGGGGCACTGGGGAGGGCCAGCTTCGTGGGGCCAGGGTCTCCTTCTGGGGTGAAGAGAACATTCTGGAACCAGGCAGGTAGCGGTAAAAGGCAACATGGTCCGTTCAGGTAGTTGTTTGATACGGTGACTCTTGGGCCGTGTCCACTTCATTTCTGTAAAACGAGTGACTTCTGCGAATGGCACCGTGGGGCTTGCGCGGGCCTGACTCAGGCGGCGGGAACCAACTCGCTGCGTTCCCTTCCTCTCGCAGACGGTCGGGGGGCTGATTCTGGAGAAGCCGGTGGACAAGCAGGACGCCTACAGGATGCTGTCCCGGTGAGCACCGTGCTGGCCTCGGAGCTGTCTCAGGTTCTGGGCCAGAGGAGCCGTCATACCCGGCCGGGTGTCCTGGGGAGCAGGGTGGATCTGTCTCAGCTCTGCCGTCTGAGCTGTGCCGTCTGCGCTCCTCTGAGCTGTGCTCTCTGAGCTGTGCTGTCTGAGCTGTGCTGTGTGAGCTGTGCTGTCTGAGCTGTGCTGTCTGAGCTGTGCTGTGTGAGCTGTGCCGTGTGAGCTGTGCTCTCTGAGCTCTGCTTTCTGAGCTGTGCTGTGTGAGCTGTGCTGTCTGAGCTGTGCTGTGTGAGCTGTGCTGTCTGTGCTCATCTGTCTGAGCTGTGCTGTGTGAGCTGTGCTCTCTGAGCTGTACTGTGTGAGCTGTGCCGTGTGAGCTGTGCCGTGTGAGCTGTGCCGTGTGAGCCGTGCTGTCTGAGCTGTGCTGTCTGAGCCGTGCTGTGTGAGCTGTGC